ATTCTCACCAAGGGTACCTACGAGATGACTGAAGGAACCAGACTCATTCAAGAACTAATTATTAGAATATTCACTCTACCAGGAAAAAAAAATCAAACAGAATAAGCTTTTGTTCTCCCAGAAAGGCTTCACCACTTACACTAAAACATCTGTGCAGTGGAATTTAGCTGGAAACCTTCTAGAAACAAAGGCTTGGAGAAGCTGGCCCTGCTGAGATGCCTGCTGTCATGTGTTAAAGTCTGTGAAATGTAGGAAGTGCTGCCTCCCAGGGTTTAAGTGCTGCCCATGCTGGGCATGTGTTAATGGAGTGAAGGTTTCTCCTGTGTCCACCCTCCAACAGACAGACTAAACAGCTCTCAGGGGGAGCCTGACCACCCTCGGTCCTCCTGAGTTCTCCCTTCTAAATATAATTTGCAGGGGAACCTTGCCCAATCAAGCAAAAAGACATGTCCTCCTTCCGGCACTTTTCAGTGCTTTGCTTATGACGTATAGCTGTTTCCTTGGTATGAAAGTCAAATCAGCATTCCAGCCATCTTGATACCTGTCTCTGTGCTCAGGTGAAATTTAATGACAGATGTTATTTTCTTTAAACCCAAGAATAGAGAAAGGTTGTTTTGTTGTTGTTGTTGTTTTTATTTGTTTGTTTCTAAGAAACTTCTTTGTGTATTTAGGACATTTTAAGCAAAACATAGTTATCAGTTTACAATTAAGACAGTAACACAGCTTTCATCATTATAGATAGTGTAAATTAAAAACAGTGATTGTCAATGTTCATGGTACAAAGGGGCCACATTGCAAACAAGACAGGACATCAAAATATCCAGATTTCTGTGACTCGCCCATTCTATTACAATAGAAAGCCCCAGTTCTTTGGAAATTTTGCAGTATTTCTATTTCTGCATTCAATTAGTTTTAAAAGGCCATTTTGAATGATGCTTTTCATGACATTGTGTAAAACAAGGAGAGTCACATGAGCAGAACACTGACTCCTTGATTGTATTCTACTTAAATACAATTAGGTGGTGAATGATGTGCCAAAATAATACCTTTCCTCAACACAGGACAATGAAGAATTAAAATGTTAGATTTTAGGTTCTGGAAGTATGACAATAATGGAATTGTTAATTCATGCTTGAATTAAAGAAAATTCAACAACTCTTTGGTGTGTATCTATACCTAGCTATTTATGTGGAATTAAAAATGATGGGATGCCACAATTTTTTAGCATTCTTTTCTAGTTTTTTAGCTGTTTACTTATCAGTTACATTTTTAATTTTTTTAGACTTCTTTTATAATAAGGTGTGTGGGCTTTCCAGGAAGAGAGAAAAACAGAGAGAGGGAACTACCCCCGGTAGAGAAATGGTCATGATGCAATCCCCTCTCCTCCATTCTCCTCTTGGAATTTGGGGCACTCACACACACATAAACATACACCCGGTGTTATTTTCAAGCTGCCAGGTCCAGAACTTGAACCACGGTTGACCATGTGGGAGTCCAGTGCCTTAACCACCTTGTCACCTACTAGCAGACAAATTCATGAGTAGAACTGACATAAGAGTAAAATAGGCCACACACTTTCAGTCTAAGATTTTCTTTACAGTCTTAGATATAATTTCTGACTAACACTTCTCAAAAAATTCAAGAATTGTGATTTTTTTTACTTATGATTATTTTTCTTCTTCTTTTTTTCTTTTTCTTGGAGAGGGTTTTGCTATAGGGTGCATGCGCTCACCAGAAAGACAGAAAGAGGCAGAGAGACAGAAAGAAATCCTCCCCCAAGGGGGATGGCCATGCCACAGTCCTTTCCCTTCCATTCTCCTCTCGGGATCTTGGGCATGCAAGCACACATACCTGGCGTGATTTTAAGCTGCCAGGTCCACGACTTGAACCATGATCTACTACATGGGAGTCCAGCAACATAGCCATTATGCCAACTGCTGGTCCCTATATCTTATTCTTTATTTAATCTGGAGCTCCTAGACCATTGATGACCCACAACAAATCATTCAACTACTGTCAAATAAATGAAAGTAACATAGGAGATCATATATTTGAAGTAATTTAAGAGGTATTACTATCTAATGGTGAAAGTATTTTATTTCTATTCATTTCAACAAGTATTTAATGAATGAGTGATATGCTGCAGAGCCTGGGCCAAGCATGGATATATTACAGCTACCTATCCGTCTTGTGGTAGATACGAGGAATTGCTTTCTTGGTATTGTGTCCCTGACTCAAAACCAGTATTACACAAAAATATGTTTTTTTAAAAAAAACCATATATAAAACTACAGCACAAGATTATCATAGAATCATAGAATCTTAAATTTGAAATAGAGCTCAAAATAGATTTAGTTCAAACTCCATGTAATGCAGTTTTCCCTTTCATAACGTTTTGAGATAAGATTTGAGTTAAATAGTATAAGTGAAATTGTGTGGATATTCTGTATTTGTGAATATCCTGTAATTGGTTGAAGACTTTGAGTGTTTTAAAAAGGAGCTTGCTGAGGGCTGGAATGGAAAACAACTGAAAAACAGATTGCTATCTATTTGTTTCAAATTAGAAAATAACCTTGTCTACATTTATTCAAATTAGGAAGCTAGAGGATCAGGCGATCCTGTTGGCTATTCTTTCTATCAGGCAAGGAGCTGAAATGAAGTGTTTTGTTTTTTGATTTTTTCTTTTTTTTTTTTTTTTTTGGAAAGACTGCCTCAACTTTTAGGTATTTAGTACCAATTCCTCAGAGAACTGAAATAACCATGTGTCAGAGAGGAGTTGCTGTTCAAAATCAATCATTTCCAAACATGCCTGGCAACTTTTCCATCTGATTTCTAAAGTGTACAGTTTTCTCCTTGACCACTAAAAGTATTTATTTTCATGCTTTCAAAGGGGAGTACAATCTTAATCCATATGCACTACTTGAAACAAAATATTTATTAAGGTTTAAAAGTGAATCTAGTCAGTCATGTTGCCTAAATCAAAAATGAATCATGAACAAATCACCTAAAACAATAAAACAGAGGTAAAAAGAGGAAGGAGGGTAACTGAATGGAAGGAAAATAACTGGAGAGAAAGGGTTAGATGGGGATGCAACAGTACAACATAATTCTCTGGTGGCAGTCTCATGTGGGAATTTTCTGGTTCAAGTCTGGAGACCTCCTGAGTACACTGGGTACATGTTTGCCCATGATCTGGGGCTGGATAAAAGCTGGGGATGGATCACAGCATCTAGACTGTGTCATGTCTCTGTTTCTCTTGCTCATGGAAGAAATAAAGAATTAAAATTTAAAAAGAGACAGAAAGAGAATGAAAAAGGGAGTGAAAGAGAGTATCCAAGACTGGTCCAGTCAAGCTGAGTCCTCCCTTCGCAATCTGTGTCCACTGCATGGCATGTGACTGCACCAACTTGTGACTCATAAGAACTGAACATTTATTTAAATGTTCTTCTCCATCTGGAAGCTCTATAAGAAGGATCTTCAAAAATTCATGGAAAATGCTCATTATGAAAAAAACATCTGCATGGGTTTCATATATTTTGCGCCAAAATAACTACGTATTTCATTTTCCCATGACTTTTTGAAGTCTTATATCTTCCTATATTAGGGTTTAAAAAAGTTCAATGAAAATGCAGTTAAAATATGAGTTTATTGTGGCACAAAAATCATTTTGAAATCCATGCAGTTTTTTTAATACACATTTTTCTTAGAATTTAAAAAACCCTTCACATATCTTGATTAATGCAGTAGTAATTGCTCTATTAATTTCTACTAGAAAACAATGCACATTCTTTTTTTTTGGTAGGGGGGAGGTCATTTGAACTCATATAACAAGTCTTAAATCAGGGTGACTTATCACTGAATAGCCCACCAAAAAAAATAAAACAAGGTAGGGAATTAATATGATGGGAAAATAATATTAAATTCTAGAAACAATAACAGAAGAAGAAAATGTACCCTCATGTCATTAAAGTTTATCTGACACCATGTTCAGCAATTATCTTCTTCTATTTCAAATTCTTCCAGATAGTACTTCTTGCCTCACTGTAGGTGTTAATGTTCACTTTGATTTTGTCTTCCAACCTTCTCTGCTCTCACTACACATACTTCTGATGATTGGGCAACTTCATCTACTCTTTTCTTTCAGCCAGCTACTCTAATATTGCCTAATCCCCCCAGTCTTCAGTATAACTCTTCCCTGGATTTTAGACTTCCATTTTCAAGTCTTACACTTAATTTTCACCTAGACATTGGATCATCATAACTCAAATTTACATCTTTGAGAATGAACTTATTTCTAATCTGTCTTTTCTTTCGAAATTTTGTAGCTAGTTTTATAACCCAGCCTCATGGATTGCAAATACTTGTGACCTTCTCTTTCAGTACCCATCATCAACATATTATGAAACCTGTTTATATTCATCTCAAGTATATGTTCTTTTCTTTTGGCTTTTATTTAGAAATATACTAACAAGGTAAATAACAACACAGCAGCAATAAGAATTAGTAAATTATTTAAATGGGGGAAAAATGTAATTAGGGGACCACTCACTAACAATTTTAAGTTAGAGACAAAGTTTAAAAGAAGAACTATATATCATAAAATTATATAGGGCTGAGTCCGTGGCACAGCAGTTGAACACTGTGAAGAGGGAGCTGGATCCTAAATGGCCAACCATGGTTCAAATCTCTGCCCTAATAGCTTGAAAAACCATGCTAAGCACATACATATACACATGCTTAGGATCCTGAGAGGATGAAGAAATAGAGGAAAACAGGACTGCGGCATGACCAGGCCCCCTGGGGGTGTTTTCTCTCTTTCTCTCTGTCATACATATGATTGCATCTGGGGGAATGGGGAATGGGGAATGAATGAATGAATGAATGAATATATATATATATATATATATATACAGAGAGAGAGAGAATCTAATGTCACAGTATATGTGTGTGTGTGTGTATAGATAGATATAACTTTGTACTGATTTTTCTTCTATTTCTAGCTGGTCATTGTGGTTCTCCAGACCCAATTGTGAATGGCCATATTAGTGGAGATGGCTTCAGTTACAGGGACACTGTGGTTTATCAGTGTAATCCTGGTTTCCGGCTTGTTGGAACTTCTGTTCGCATATGTTTGCAAGACCACAAATGGTCTGGACAGACCCCTGTTTGTGTCCGTAAGTACATGGTTCATCCACTGATTCTTCCACTTCATTTTCTTTTGTGTAACATCCTAATGAAAACATGTTTACTTCAAAGTAAAACAGGATAAAGAACTCTCGATTTTAGCTGTCCAAAGAAAGAGAATATGAACGCTATAACTTCCACTCTTTCAACATATTTTGATCCTCTTTCTATTCTATTTCCCTCTGATGCCTTGTCAGTACCTGTCCGCATTTAATTTGCACATTAATTCATTTTAAATGAATTCTATGATAAATGATGTCATGTATTCATTTCCCCTGACTTTATTAGATGATAAACTAAGTGGAAACAAATGATACTTAAAAGAAGGCAAAATGCTAAGTCTAGGTCTGCATTCCAACTTTGTAGATTCCTCAAAATAGCTGCACTCTCTTCATTTTCCATGTTGTTTTGCGTTTCTGTTATTATTTCATCAGGAATACAAAGTTTCATAAGCAGTCTTTAACAGGAAGAGGTTTAAATTATATATAAAGACTATCCTCAAGCTCTGTAACTTCAATGACAAATACTGACTATTTTTAGAATAGACATATTCTGGGGCCAGAGGGTGGCATGGTGATTAAGGCACTGGACCCTACATGGACAACCATGTTTTGCATTCTGGATATGGCCTTGTAGAGCTTCTTGAAAATTACATCAGGTGTGTGTGCATGCATGCCCAAAGTCCTGAGAGGAGAATGGGTGAAAAGGGATTATGATGTGGTTATCTTCCCTGAAGGGCGATTTCTCACTTTCCCTGTCTCTCTTGTGAGCACACACATTTCATGAGGAGAAAGAGAAAACCTTTAAAAAAAGAATGATATATCTTCTCTTTATGGCAAAGTTTCTTTTAAACCAGTTTTTTTCCCCTAAGATAGTCTTTATTTTCCTGTGAATTAAGCGAAAGAAATGTTGATTAACTATAGAATAGTGACAAGTATTATCTGTGATTGTGCCGTGGTAAACACACAAAGTTCAGGAATGAAAGCTATATTTAGAAGACAAGATTTGTTGACAAGATAAAGGAAGAGGAAAAACACCAGTTTTATGACTGTAATGTATTTCCTTTGAAAGGGTCAATGACAGATATGTCTCTGCTCTGTATTGTCATTATCTTGGGCATGACATAATGACATTTTGCAAATAGGGTCTGTCAATGAAAATAATATTGAGTGAGTGTGCATAGTTACTTTGCCACTTTTATGACACTTAAATTGATATTGGCATAATTTATATGTAGACAATTTAAAGCATCAAGCAAATCATATTGTTTCAAAAGGAGAGTTTCGCAAAATCAGCTGGTATGTGTTAAGGGGAAAATATTAGAAACTAATGATCAGTATGATAATGTTTAGTATCTCTTATTTTTCACTGCTTCATTTTCAAATCATTTGGTATTCTGTCATGATTTGAATAAAAAAATGGTAATTATAATGATAAAGAAAGTACTTTTGGCAGGTGTGGATTATTTTCCACAATTGTAATAGAAGCCCATAGCATCAGTCTCAGGTTCCATTTCCCAATATCTTCTTCCAAATATAAATGCTCTCTATAAAATGTCTGATTAGTCAAGGGCCCTTTACTCCTTCCATTTAATATGCCAGTGTATTTACTACTAAATATACCAAGTGAAAGTGATGAGCTGTTTAATATTTGACAATGACATTGACTTTTCTCTGTAGCTATCACATGTGGTCACCCTGGGAACCCTGCGCATGGATTTACTAATGGCAGTGAGTTCAACCTGAACGACGTCGTGAATTTCACCTGCAACACGGGCTATTTGCTACAGGGTGCCTCTCGAGCCCAGTGCAGGAGCAACGGCCAATGGAGTAGCCCTTTGCCCACCTGTCGAGGTAGGAGAAATGTCAGAAAATGAACCTTATGGTCTGAAAGTATATTAGGCTGACTACTGAATAAGTAAAGGGCAAAGCTTCACCTCATAGGGTGAAGTTGTGAACTCTCTTTGTTGAAATGTGAAAACAATTGGAGAATATACACAAGTCTCTATGTAAACTTTACCCTGTCTCATAGCCAGATAATAAATTGTAAGAATCTAGGATCTTATTTCTCAACAAGAACTCATCTTTCATTTCCGTTTTTATGCATTCATTCACTTATTTATTCCCACTATGCACAGTTAGCATTCTTCAGTCTTTAAGCTTCTAGTCTTATGCTTGTATTTACAAAGTTCTCTTAATTTTGAGTTTCAAATTTTTATTTAAAAATGGCCATTCAGAGTTCTATTCTGTAGTATTTGTATTTATAGATGTTTAGCCTCTTAATATTTAAGATTTTACTTCAATTATTTTCCATTAAAACACCTTTTATTGATGATTTACCATATTTTATTGTGAAGGTAAGGTCTTTTTTGACAGTATTAAAATGATATGAAAGCCTGATTCTTATGAATTTCTCCTGATCTGGCATGCACCCCATAGGGCTCCCAAGGTAGCTTTATTGAAATGAGACAATAAGAGAACCTAAGAATGAGAACCTAAGCTCGTTCTTTCATTATTTCATTTTGTTAGTATTTGTGTAAAAGTTGGCTACTTAACTTCAAAGTTCTGGCACCAGTCTAAATTAAAGTGCTTGGCTTAAGCTCAAAGACTAAGTAAAGTCTCCTAATTCCAGTTTTACCTAAAATACTCATATTGGGTTGATAATGTTCAGGGACTTGGTAATTCTCTCACTAATAATGAGAGAGTTTACTCAGCCCACCAGAGACCAGAACACGAGAAACTCCAGGGCAAGGAGTGGTGCTGTTGAGCCTCCTGCCTCACAGGAATTATTTAGGGGACCTTGCCAAGATCTGACCTTGGAGGGACGAGTTCTCCCCATTAGGGTCCCAGTGGCAGAGTCTACCTCAGACAAAGAGGGTGAGCTAGCCTAAGACAACAGCTTCAGTTTTATCCAAGCATTGCCCCCACTCAGAAAAAGGTATATGATGTTATATGATAACCTTTGTAATTGAACTATAACCTTTCTTCTCCCATTACCTTTTCTCGTCTTTAATTTACTGTAATTACAAAGCAAAACAAAACAAAACAAAAAACACCTGATGTGCAGAATGAGGGACCCAAGGATCTCTTCCTGTTCCTTTTGCTCTTCAAGGCTGACTCACATTAGAGGGTCTAGGTTTGCATCCAGGGACCTCACTGAGTATGCCACACACATGTGTGTCTGTGATATGGGGGCAGGCTCAAGCTGGGGGACGGATGGTAGAGGTCAAGACCCTGTTGATTGTGCTATCTCTGTCTCTCTTACTCATGAAGAAATAAACTTTTAGAAGTATATTTTTTTAAATGAAAGAAAGGAAAGACAAGATCCTCTGTTATGTTCTCAGTATAACATTTTCAACCTCTGGCCATTGACTTTTTTTTTAGAGAGAGAGATTTTTGGTATAGGGCGCCTATGCTCACCATAGGCAGAGACAGAGAGACAGAAAGAGAGAAATCACCCCCATGGAGAATAGCCACACTGCAAATCTCTTCTCTATTCTCCTCTCAGCATGCATGCACATGTGCCCAGTATGAGTTTATGAGTTTTAAGCCACCAGGTCCAGTGATGTAACCATTATGCCATCTGCTAGTCCCTGACAGTTGACTTTTTAAAGTGCCAACTGTGATGTTATAATTTATTAACTACAGGTCAATGACTAGTAAAATAGGTTCTGGAACTTGCTTTGACTTCATCTAAGAGCTGCACAGCTCAATATGGAGCAGAGCTGGGTTACTTTCCAGGTCTAATTCTTTCACAGTTAGATATCTGTCCCTGCTTTGGGTTCCTTGTCATAGCCTGTGGGCCAGTTTTCAGTAACTCTGAAAAGTCCTTTGGAATTCTCTGACCCTGTTTGGTTTGAACAATTTAGTATAACAATATGTTTAGTTCCTTTATTTAATAACATCATTTTCCCACTAAAAATTCATCTTTGGAGACCTATTAGGTAGTTGTTCTCATGCAGAGTTGATTTAATTGCTGATCTCTTAGTTTTATATTTGAGCTCAAACATTTTAAAATTATATTTTAATGTGGTAGTTAAATATTCTATACGAAACTTTTAGTAACAAGTTCTGTAGATTATTTTTCTCAGGATGAATTTCTTTTTCCATTAAGATCTACCTCTTTTCTGTTTAATGAGTAAGTAATTTTGTAATCATACTTTTTTATTTTGAGATAATCATAGATGCAGACACACTTGTTAGAAAAGATCAGAGAGATCCTTTGTGTTCATTACTACTTTTGCTCAATGGTAACATCTCACAAAACTAGAGTACACTGTGACAACCAGGTTATTGACACGAATGTGGTCAAGATGCAAATACCCATTATTGCAAGGATCTCTTATTAGACTTCGTGGCCACTTCCACATCTTCACTCATCATTCCTGGCAACCACTAACCTTGTATCCATTTCTATGAGCATCTCAACCAAATATTGCTCTGAAAATAACTTTTTCATATTTTCTGGAATTATGTAAAAGTTTTAGGGTAAGGTCATATCTATGATTAGGAAACTATTTCAGCTTTATTGATTGTTTTTCCAAAAATAAAAATCTTCAACAGACTCAGTTTTATCCTCAGATGTACATTTGGTGTATTTCAGTTCTTATCCTGTTAAGGGAAAGTAATTTACATAGCCTGCACCTCTAGATTCATCAGTGTACCTACTATGTGTTCAGTGTCATAGGTTTAAATGGGAAAGCATTAAACACCCTTATGTAACATGTACGTAAAGAGAGTAATACCTTAGTTCCAGAAGTTAGAAATAAGTGACCCAGCTTACAGCCGTTTCACCCTGAATGAGCCTGACTACCTCTGATGTTCGGGAAAAAAAAAAAAAAGTGGCCTATTAAGGAACAAGAGATTAGAAAATCAGTTTATATATGGGGGTACAAGGTTTTGCTTCTAGGAGTCATTAAGTCATTTATCTGAATTAGTACATCTAATGTCACAATATAATTGTCATTGTTAGTATGCCCTATGGAAAACAACTATTCTTTAAGAAAAAGGGGGCACATTAAATATGGAAAAGAGACATAGCAAATAAGGAAAGATCAACACACTTCACCTTTTAGAGTTTAGTCCTTTGACCAACAGGTCCTAGATGTAAAGCTTCAAGAAACGATCTCATTTTAACATCTTACACAGCACTGGTCTCATATGTTAGAGGTAAATGATTACTAAACAAATAAATGGGATTATAGGTCTTTTCCAACAAAGAGAAAATCTTGACATTCAGGGCAAAGACACTTGGCCCTTTTGTTCTCACTCTTCCCCAAAGCCAGACCTCTGGCTGTGTTTAGAAGAGGTGGAGAATGGAATATGTCATGGTGATGTCAGTGGTTTCTTGTTCAAAAGCTCCTGTTGATCTCTGGAATGTCAAAATATTGATCTTGTAGTTTATATTATTAGGACGTAATGAGTTAAGAGTGATTCTGAGGGCTAGCAGGTGGCATGGCCGTTGAGGCGCTAGCCTCCTGCATGGTTGACCACAGTTGAAGTCCTGGACTAGGCAACCTGCTTCTCACTTTCTCTTTCTCTCTCTTTCTTTATGGTCAAATTAAAAGTAATATTAATAAATAAAATTAAGTGAAATAATTATTTTTAACAAATTTTAAAAAGAGTGATTGTAAAGACAGAGGTCATGGTAAATGGTGGTGAATTTAGGGGATATTTCGAAATGTGTGTAACAATACAGAAAGCTGGCATTTGTAAAATGACATCTCTTCCCTCACAACGGGACGTTTTAGTCTACCCTGAGTACTTATTGAACACTAAGCTAAACATAGCTGAGATAATCCCTCTTCCTCCCTCCACTCTACACTCATCTCTCTGAGGAAAACATGGAATGTATATACCTTCAAGAAGCTGTGAGGCCTAGAATGGTAATGGGAGGGCAAAGCTATAAGTGGCTATCTCTTGCTTATACAACTGTGAGGATTTAGGAAAACATTAAACAGCTCTAATCAAATGGATTTCTCCACCCTGTATGACAGCTAGAATAGCACAATGGAAGGAGTGATTAAGATGACTGCCCATACATTGTGATCCCACCTCTCTTCACACAAGGGAACAGCAGAATTATGCTTTAAGTCTTATGTGTGTCAGAATGATCTATAACCGGGAACCAACAGTTAGCGGTTAGTGTAATGGTTATGTCGTTGGACTCCCACGTAGTCCACCGTGGTTCGCGTCCTGGACCCGGTGGCTTAAAACTCACGCCAGGCGCGTGTGCGTGCGTGCCCAAGATCCCGAGAGGAGAATGGAGGAGAAGGGATTGCGGCGTGACCATCCCCCATGGGGGGGTGATTTCTCGCTTTCTGTCTCTATGTCTCTCTCTGTCTGTCTGGCGAGTACACACGCCCTATAGCAGTGAAAAACCTCTCCAAAAAAAAAGAAAAAAAGAATGCTCTATAACCGTTCTCCCGCAAAAATCCTTCTAGTCAATGTACTTTAGTATTTTTTAATTTTATTTATTTTTGACATTTTCTTTTTTTTATATATTTTATTGACTTACAAAAAAATCTTAATTAAACTAAATACTTTCAGTAGTAAATACAGTTGATAGAAACATGTCTATGAACACATGTCAGACTTTAGACATAAACTCTGTGAGTAGAATGAATATATTATAAAGTAGGACCTAGCTGAGACTGTATAGCCTACTGATGTCATTAAGTAGGTATGTTTTTTATTTATTTGCTGTTTGTTTTTTAATGTATTTTTTAATTTTAAGAAAAGTAGTTTTAGCTTTAATAAATCCAAATTGAAAAATGTTAAGAAAAATTTGCTTAAGCCAAGAAAAAGCTACACCAGAAATTATTCTTGTATGAAATCAATATATCTCTAATTAT